TTCCCCTTACAGAAATAACCAATGTATTCAATGTCTCTCCCATCTCTGGTGCATGTGTCTTTCCATACTACATTCCCTGCATTCCCTCCTACCCCTTTCAACACTTCCCTCCCAGCAGCCACCACCTCACACTGCTATTGTTCTCTCAAGCTGATGTCTGTTTCATGTTTAGGAGAATATAAATTCAAATCCCATGTTCCTACTTCAGGGAAAGATTTTTGTCTGAGGCAGGTTTGAGATTTTGAACATTAATGAATGAAGAAGACCAGATGAGCTGTGGGAATATACTAAGAAAATCATCCAGGGATAATGCAAAAAGTCATTATTAAAAGATGGAGGAAAAAGAAAACACTAAAATAAATGATAGAGAGACTGACTATTGTACTAGAGCACTGAGAAGCCAAATCAAAGGGAAAAATTAAAGATGTTAAAGAGCTGAATAGAATATGTCAAAGGACAGATTGGGAAGACAAAGCAAAATATTGTAATGAAATGTGCAAGGAGCTGGAGTCAGAAAATAAAAAAGGCTGAATGTGCTCAGCATGTCTTAAGCTGAAGGAACTAAATAACAGATTTAAGCTTTGCATTGCAATAATTAACCATGCTGTGGGCAGAATTCTGAATGATCAAAGAAGCATTAAAAGAATATGGAAGGAGTATACAAAAATCACTGTACCAAAAAGAATTGGCTGACAGAGAAGCTTTTAATGAAACAACATATATTCAAGAGGCAATAGTGGTGAAGGAGATTGTTCAGGTTGCTTTGAAAGACTTGGAAAAGAATAAATCCCCAAGAATTGATGGAATAACAGTTGACATGTTTAAAAATCTGGACGTGCTCATCAGATTGCCAAGAAGTCTGGAGAACAACTACTTAGTCAACTGATTTGAAGAAATCCATATTTATTGCATTATTCCATTAAAAAAAAGGTGATGCCACAGAGTGTGGAAATTATTAAACAATATCACTAATATCACATGCTTGCAAAATCCTGCTGATGATTATCCAAAAATGACTGGAATGTACATTGGCATAGAACTACCAGAAATACAAGCTGGGCACTTGAGATTGCTAATGTCTGATGGATCTTGGCAGAAGGCAAAGAGTACCAGAGGAATGTCTGTGTTTCATTGACTATGCAAAAGCGCTTGACTGAATCACAACAAATGGTGGCTAACCCCGAGAATGGGAATCTCAGAACACTTGATTGTGCTCATGTGAAACCTATACTTAGATCAAGAAGCAGTTCTCAGAACAGAGTAAGGAAAACACTACAAGGTTCAAAATCAGGAAAGAAGTGCGTCAGATATGTGTCCTGTCTCCATACTTTTTCAAACTCTATGCAGAACAGATCATTTGGGAAGCTGGGCTTTATGAGAGGGATGTGACATCAGTATTGGAGGAAGACTCTTCAACAACCTACGTTATGCAGATGACACAACCTTGCTTGCTGAAACTGAGGAGGACCTGAAGTGCTTGCTGCAGAAGATCAAGGACTGTAGTCTTTAATAAAGATTGAAGCTCAACATCAAGAAGACAATGACTCTCACCACTGGGCCGATCAGCAGCACCAAGGTAGATGGAGACAAGATTGAGGCTGTTAACAATTTCAGCAACACTCTTTGACCAGTAGTCAGGCAATCAAAAGACGAATTGCACTAGGAAAATCTGCTGTCAGAGACCTTTCCTGAGTACTGAGATGCAACAATGTCACTCTAGAGACTAAGGTGTGCCTGATCCAAGCCAGTGTATTAACAATTACTTGCCATGCATCAGAGAGTTGGACAGTGAATGAGGATGACAGAAGAATTGCTGCCTTCAAGTTGTGGTGTTGGAGAAAATTCTCAAATATACCACGGGCCACCAAGAAAATAAATAGGTCTTTCTTGGAGAGGGTGAAACCAAATTTATCCTTGGAGGCTAGGATGTTGAAGCTCTTTCTTATATACTTTGGGTATGTGGCCAGGAGTGGCTGGTCTTTGGAGTTTGGAGTTAGGTGGGGGGACAGCACAGGATAGGTAGACCCAAGATTAGATGAATTGATACAGTAACTAGGGCAATGGGTATAGGTGTGTCAGAGCCAGTGAGATTGGCACAGGACAAGGCAGGTTTTATGTTGTACATAGTATAATTATGACTCTCAGGCTACTCAATGACACATAACAACAACAATTGCACTGAGAATGTCTGCACTTAGTGACCTCTGCAAATTATTGAGGAGCAGTGATGTCAGTTTGAGCACAGAGGTGTGTCTGATTCAGGCCATGGTCTTTCTGATCATTTGCTATCCATCTGAGAGCTGGAAAATGAATAAGGATGACAGAAGAATTGATGCCTTTAATGGTGTTGGAGAAGAGTATTGAACATCCAATGGACTACAAAAAAAAAAAAAAACAAACCCGAAACAAATACATCTTGAACAAAGTACAGTAAGAGTGCTCCTTGAAGGCAAAAATGATGAAGCCTCATCTCAGAAACTTTGGGCATGTTATTTGGAGTAGCTGATCCTTGGAGAGGGGCATGATACTCAGGAAGGCAAGGGGTTGGTGAAGGAGAAGACCCTCAATCAGTTACGTTTACACAGTGACTGCCTCAATGGGCTCTACTGTGTCAGGAAGTATGAGGATGGCACAGAATAGGACAGGGCTCAGATCTGTTGTTTATAGAGTCGCTATGGGTTGTGTTTGTCTTGAGTGGACCTAACAACAACAACTCTGGTTAACTTAAGGAGCGAAAGGCTTTGAAACATCTGTTTATAATCTTATAACTGGACAGGCAGGCTCTGGCCTAAGCATTTAGGAAGATCTTCCACAATAATTGAAGCCCCATTTACTAGTTGAACATTTAATTGTTTCACACATAGTTTGTGAATTAAGAAACCAAGCCTTGTCACTTCTGTCTAGCTCCAAAATAGGTGGGACCTTTATTGCCACTTTTACAGAAAAACCAAACTGTCTAAGCTAACTAAAGCTATGCTGCAATGCCAAAGGTACTCAGTTCAAATCCAGCAGGTGCTGGATGGGCAAAAGAAGATGGGCAATCTCCTCTTCTGTAGCTAACTGCCTCTGAAAACCTGTAGAGGATCAGATGTAGGTTGATTCCAACTAGATGGTAGATGGTACACAATAACAATGATAACAACAACTATGGTAATTGAAAAAGCAAAACAAGTAGAAGGGGAATCTGTGGTGAAAAGCCAAAATTGGGCCATAAGCTATAAGAGAGTTGTGGAAATGTCTTTTGTTTCCTGACCTCCAGCATGTAATCCTTGGATGATACAAATGATTAACCCATTGGACTACTAATAAAAATTTGAATCCACTCAGGAGTTTCTCAGAAGAAAGACCTACTTCTGAAAAATCAGTCACGTATGACAGGTTTGGAAGCAGGGGTGGCGTCTACTTCCTACATAGCATGCCTCCAGAAACTCTGTGAACTTTGATAAATGTCAATAGTTGCAGAGGGACTTCAGGCCTCTTGTTCATAAGTTTACTATGAGTCATGCTTGACTCGAAGGCAATCAACAACAACACGTCAGTGATACTCTAACACAAGAGGTTACCATGTGATGCAACTGGGTGAACAACTGGTTAGCATTCAGCTGGGCACATCTCAAGAGGACTCCAATGGAGTTGATAGGCTCATCTACCAAGGAGGAGCATTTAAAAGAAACCCTCCACCATTAGATGTTGCAGTTTTTAAAGAGACAAGAAAAAACTTTATTAAAATCTAATTCTACACTTAAATGCAAATGTTGTTTGCTGATGTACCACTGAGTCAGAAGTGGCTCATAGCTGAACTTCAGCAAGTTTCCTGAAACTGTAAATCATAGAAGACAGGATTGCCTATCTTCTTCCTGAGGAGCATCTGGTAGATTTGAACCACCTGCCTTTTGGTTGCCAACACAACTCCTTACCCATTAGGAGACCAAATTTCCCTTATGTGAAAGCTCTCTTATGCAAATAATGACTATAAACTGACATAAGTATCAAGGTTTTTTTTTCTCTCTCATCTTAATAAGGATTAATGAAAATCTTATAAAAACTCAATTCTGGTCAGCAAAAAAATTATCTTAGGGAAATATGGCTTTAGTGAATAGAGAAAATAATAGGTGAAATTTGAGTAGGTAAATTTTGCTACTCAATTAGTTTATTTGCATTTGTTGGGAAGGAATTGAAGTTTTATATTGTAAATTATCATCTTGGAGTATACCTGGGTTTTTATTAGCATCATGATAGACAGTGAAGAGATTGAGGTTATTAACAGCTTTATTTTGTTTGGCTCCACAATCAACACTCTAGGTTATCAGCAGTCAGGAAATTAAAAGAGGAATTGCACTGGGAAAGTCTACTGTCTGGGACCTATTCCAGAGTACTGAAGAGCAATGATACCAATTTTGAGACTAATGTGTGCCTGATCCAGGACATAGTCTTTTCAGTTATTTGTTATGCATCAGAAAGTTGGATAATGAAAAAAAAAATTGATGCCTTTTACCATGGACTGCTAGAACAAACAGGTTCATCCTAGAGAGGGTGAAATCAGACTGCTCCTTGGAGGCAAGGATTCTGAAGGTTCGTCTGATTTACTTTGTGCATGTTACAAGGAGGGGCCAGTCCTTGGAAAGGGACATTGTGCTTGGAAGCATGAAGGGAAAGCGCAAGAGAGGAAGACCCTCAATGAAAGGGATTGATTCAGTGACTAGCGTAATGAGGGTAGATGTGTCAGAGACAAGATTGGCACAGGACAGAGCAGGGTTCAAAGCTGTTTTGTATAGGGTCACTGAGTCTCAAGTGACTTGATGGCACATTAACAACAACAAGAAGTCTTTCTTTTTTCATTCTTCTTTCTTCCTGTTTCCTGTTCTCTCTTTTGTATTTTTCCTTCCATTCCTAATTCTACTCTCTTGCCTCTCAGAATTCTAGGACTGCATGGTGGAACATAGATTGTATTTGTATGTCCCAGGCTGTTGACAAGCCTTTTAATCTGTTTTTCTCCTCAGCTGTTACTTGAACACCAAGATGCATATCAGGCTGGAACTGTGTTTCCTGATTCTTTTTACCCCGATATTTGTAAAGGAGGTAAGACAAAATAGACAAAGGTTTGTAGACCAAGTAATATTACCTTTATGTGGTTAATATGAATGGCCATGAGTTTTATAACTTATGGCCATTGTAATATAATTACATAGTATATTTATCACTGTTTCAGTCAAAGTTTTATTATATGTAAGTAATCTATTTATTAAAAAACTTGCTTAATTCAAGCATGCACATTTCTGAAAATCTTAAGTATTGTTTTGATGAAAACCATCCCAAACATTTTACTTGCTTTGCTGCCTCCTGACATAAGAGAAAAATTTTGCAAAAGTTGGAAAGATTTCAGTTTTGGTGTCTTCCTTCCTGCTATATTGTCTGTTAACATGGGGCCTTGGAAAAATTACTTGCATGCTCACTCTTGGTTTCTGTATTAGCCAAATAGTATTGATGAAAATGCTTAAAGTGCTTGGCTGATCTATGAAGCACATGTAATATCTGTGAGCCAGAGTTGACTTAACAGCAAGTATGTTTCCATTTATTTATTATTTAAATAGGGCAGTAATGCCTGCCTCTACTCTTTGTTGGATTGTTTTTTGGCATTTTTGAGAAGCACTTTGTCAAGAGTTATAAACACCAAAGTAATATTAACAGTATTTGAGCTATACATTGTACCATTTTAACTACAACAACACTCAGGAGGTAATACTTACACTGTATCATGGTGGCCTAGTCTGTAGGAAGTTGTGCTGTTAACCCAAAGATTGTATCTCTGTGGTTGTTCAGACCCACAAACTCTGTGGGAGAAAGATGGGCAATCTGTTTTCAAGCAATTTTTAGTCCCAGAAACCCATTGGTTCCAACTCAATGGCAGTGAGTTGGGTTGGTGGTGGAGTTTTTGGTTGTTTTTTGTTTTGTTTTTTATTTTTTCACAAAGAGATAATTTGCAGAAGTACAGGAAAGCGGAAAGTAACTCACATAGGATAGCACAGTTGTTAGATACCATCGAGTGCAGTAGTGGAACAGTAATGCAGGACCACCATTGAGCTTTATAGGGTTTGAAGAGGGACTGTAGTTATTGAAATGCAGAGAACTGTGTGGAGGGGCCATTTGATAGGAGTTGAACCTTCAGTCAAGGGGCACAGCCAGCCTGCTGTGACTCTACAAAGGGAAGCTTGTGAGGAATAAATAAACTGTCGCTGTCTCCTTCCTCCTTCTGTTCTTCTGCTGTTTCTTCTTATTGGCCAGAATCAGTACACCAATGACAGAGGACAAAGAGACTAGTTGAAGCAAGGAAGCTTTTCTGGAGGTAGAGAACAGCACAAGGAGGACAGGAAGGAACAAAAGAAGACATCCAGCACACTGGGTCATCCTGTCAACCATTTTTTGAGTCATCAGCCTTTATCTCATTCTTTAACTATAGTGATGGGCCAATGTAATTTGAGGCTAGCTACATATCCCTGTAATTTGCTGGAGAATATTAAGGGCAGTAGTTTTCAATATGGATTGCATCTCGACATGAAGAAGACAAAGATCTTTACCACTGGCCCAATAGGCATTATGGTAAATGAAGAAAAAATTGTGGTTGTTAGATTTCATCTTGCTTGGATCCACAATTAATACGTTTGACACCAGCAGTCAGGACATAAGAAAATGAGTTGCATTCTGAAATTCTGCATCAAGGACCTCTCCAGAGTGCTAAAGAGCAATGGTGTCAGTCTAGAGACTAAACTGTGCCTGATCCAGGCCATGGTCTTCTCAATTGCTAACCGTGCCTCTAAGAGCTGGAAAATTAATAAGCATGACAGAAGAAGTATGGATGCCTTTGAATTGTGGTGATGGAGAAGAGTATAGCACACATCATGGACTGACAAGAAAATGAAACCTACTCCTAGAGAGGGTGAAAATAAGTTGCTTCCTGAAGGAAAGAATTTTGAAGCTCTGTCTCATAAACTTTGGTCATGTTTTCAGGAGAAACCAGTCCTTGAAGAAAAACAACATGCTGGGAAGACTCTGGATGAGATGGATAGGTAGAGTGACTATGGCAATAGAACTAGGTGTGCCAGAGATGGTGAGGTTGGCTCAGGCTGGGACAAGGTTTTAGAGCCATTGATCATAGGTTTGTGTGAAGTAGACTTGGTCGCACATAAAAACAATGGCATCCTTGTGATTATGATCCCAGACAACTAAGCTTTTGCATTTTCCCAATATTTTTTATTGGAAGCAGGAGTGACATCCAGATTATTTTTCAATCTATTTGGTTCAAAATTGGGAAGGGTGTACGCCAGGGATGTGTCCTGTCTCCATACCTTTTCAACCTGTATGCAGAGCAGATTATCTGGGAGGCTGGGCTCTATGAGGAGAAGTGTGGCATCAGGATTGTGGAAGATCTATTAACAATCTGTGTTATGCAGATAACACAACCCTGCTTTCTGAAACCGAGGAGGACCTCATGCACTTGCTCCAGAGGGTCAAGGACTGCAGCCTTCAGTATGGACTGAGGCTCAATGTCAAGAAGACAAAGATTCTTACCACTGGATCAATTGATATCATCAGGATGGATGGCGAAGGGATTGAGATTGTTCACAGCTTCAGTTTGCTCGGCTCCACAATCAACACTCTTGGCACCAGCAGTCAGGAAATCAAAAGACTTATTGCGATGGGAAAGTCTGCTGTTAGGGACCTCTCTAAAGTACTCAAGAGGAATGGTGTCTCTATGGAGACTAAGGTGCGCCTGATACAGGCCATGGTCTTTGCTATCACTTGTTATGCATCAGAGAGTTGGACAATGACTAGGGAGGACAGAAGGAAAGTGGATGCCTTTGAGCTGTGGTGCTGGAGAAGAGTATTGAATGTACCATGGACTGCCAAGAAAACATACAGATTCATCCTAGAAAGGGTTAAACCAAGCTACTCCTTGGAGGCAAGGATTTAGGGGCTTTGTCTGACATATTTTGGGCATGTTGCAAGGAGGGACAGGTCCTTGGAGAGGGACATCATGCTTGGGAGGGTGGAGGGATGGCGTAAGAGGGGAAGACCCTTTATGAGATGGATAGATTCAGTGACTGGGGTAATTGGGATGGGCCTGTCATAGGCAGAGCAATTGGCACTGGATAGAGCAGGGTTTAGGGCTGTTGTACATAGAGTCACCATGAGTCGCAAACAACTCAACGGCACATAACAACAACAATTTTGTTTTAGTCTATTATCTATCATTTGTTCATGCTATTGTCTTGCAATATCTGAAAGTTGGTACCCCACAGGGTTTCCAGCCTTTGACACAATGCAGTCTTACCACTTTATAAAAAATTAATTCAATAATTCATATATGTTTTGTTTTACAACATTACAATTACTCAGTGTCATTTATTACAACATTTCATCAAATCCTCACTGTACCTTGCCTTTCCCTGCACCTTATTCATCCATCTGTTAATCTTTGATTTTCCCTCCCTTCCCTGTCAATTCTTCAAAACTGTTTTTGTGTGTAAACCTCTCTTTAGCTTTCTTTTTTGTTTAGTCAATCATTCATGCTTAGGCTGTTTCACATTCCACGTTATTGATTACAACATATATAATGTCTGTCAATTAATTCTACCTTACCCTACACATCATCGATTACAATAAAATCATCTTTGCCTATCCATTTTCTACTATCTCTACCTCTAACTTCACTAGATTGATTCTCTCTATATGTAAACTTTTTTCTTGTTTGTTGTAATAGTGATCTTACACAGTATGTGTCTTTTTGTGATTTAATTCAGCATCATGTTCTCCAGATTCATCCATGTTTCATGAGTTCTTAATTGTTTTCAGTGCTGCAAAATATTCCACTGTGTGAATATATTAACATTTCTCTAGCCATTTGTTTCTTATTGGATACTTGGACTCTTTCTATACCTTTGCTATGTTAACATGCTACAGTAAATATTGTTGTTGTTAAGTGCTGTCGAGTTGTAGATGACTTATAGTGACCCTATGAATGAAAGACCTGAACACTTGCATGACTTTCATTGTTTCTCAAGTTCATAGATTTTCTGAAGGCAAGTTATTTCGGAAGAGGATGCAATGTTAATTGAACTCAGTGAGGGTCTATTTTTGCTATTTACCTTTCCAAGATAATACCCCTTTCCAAAGAAGGGCCACTCCTAACAACATTCTGTAAGTATATGAGAGGAAGTTCCTCGATCTTGTCTCTAAGGTGCACTTGGGCTGCACTTTTTCAAAACAGTATTTTTTCTTTAAATCCTTTTGTCAGTCCATAGGATATTCAGAATTCTTCTCCAACACCATAGCTCAAAAGCATCAATTCTTCTTCTATAATCTTTATTCATCATCCAACTCTCAGATGATAGCAAATAATTGAAAAGACCATAGTTTAAATCAGACTCAGTTTATAAACTGATCTCATTGATCTTCAGTACTTTGGAAAGATCCTTGACAAAAGACTTTCACGATGCAAAGTATTGTTTGATACCAAGGATGTTGATTATGAATCTAAGCAAAATGAAAAAGGTGACAATTTCAATTTTCATGATGTTACCTATTGGCCCAATGGTAAGGATTTTTGTTTTCTTGATGTGATCTATAATCCATGCTGAAGGTTATAATCTTTGATCTTCTCTAGAGAGTATTTTAAGTCCTCCTCATTTTCAGCAAGCAAGGCTGTGTTATCTGCATAATGCAGGTTGCTGATGAATCTTCATTTGATCCTGGTGCCACATTCTTATTTATAAATGCCAGCTTCTAAAATGATTTGTTTTGCATACAGATTGAATAGGTGTGGATCAAGTATACAGCTCTGACTCCCTTTCTTGATTTTGAACCACACAATGTTCCCTTGCTCTGTTCAGAGAACAGTTTCTTGGTCTAGGTCTAGGTTTCATATGAGCATAATTAAGTGTTCTGGGATTCTGGTTCTTAGCCATGATTTGTTGTGATCCACACAGTCAAATGTCTTTTCATGGTCAATAAATCTCAAATTGACATCGTTCTGGTATGCTTTGCTTTCAGCCAAGAACCATCTGACATCTGCAATAATATCC